GTTTGTATCAGTAACGTGCTACAATTCTGATTTATCCCGAATTTGAGGACAGTCGCTAAAAATTGATTTCTTGGTTCTTTCTTAAAAGTAACAATAGTTAACAAATACAGTTGCTGCATTTCACATACTTAAGATCTGTACTTGGTAAAATAACTTCGTAAAGACCCTTTGTGAGGTTTGTGATTACGTGCGTAATCAGATGGGTTTGTGAACTGAACTGGATCGTGTTAAGATACATCTGTGCCCTTTTGCTTATCTTCGAACTTCGTATCGTGAGTTTAATATGCAAGGGCTGTTCAAAGATCGTGCGTTGGCTGGCTAGGTTAGGTTAGGTTAGGTTAGGCCCGCCATTGCGAAAAGGAACTCAAATCCTATTGATTACAGGCTGTTAACACACCGCATTTAACTCAAACAAATCAGATGGTATTTGATGTGATGTGCTAAGAACTACAGTCACGTGACTAGCCCGAGATGTAAAATAATTCAGATACGCGGAGAATCTGTTGACGTTCATCCCAGTATCTGATCCCACAAATTCGTTTCTTCAGCAAAAATTTCGTTGTCTTGTGTGTTTGGACTGCTTAACTCCCATTGTGCATTGAAACAGGTGATAATACGATCGGCTTGTGCTGTTGTGTTGTAGGTTGTTTGTTTGTGTTTCCATTAACCTTTGTACGTGTTAATGATTGTCAGTGCCAAATGACAAGTCTAAACCTTATAATTTGACTGTAGTTGTGTCAGTGGTATGACTAGCCTTGTGACACGTAGCGAACTAAGCATCTAATGAACTTAAAATTCACGTAACTTGCCAAACAAAGTACACGCCTTCCTATTTGTTTTAAAAAGTATTAATTTCAATGTGCTTAATGGCTGTTTATTTACTTTCTTCTCATAGAGGGAAACCGAAGGGGTGGTTCATCTCTCAGTGTCGCCCTATTTTCTTTATTCTTTAAAACGGGCGGACGGACAATCATATTGTTCATAGTGAACAGGTTTATTTCTTGTAAACCAGCTTTAACTGCGTTAACATGTTGTAACCGAGCAACGTGTCCCGAATATGAATCTGAGGTCTATCTTTTTTCCCCTGTGACGTCTTTGAGAGAAGATTCATGATTCGTCTTCCTGCTGTAATGTTACGTATAAACAAAATGACCAGCGCACTGAAAACGGTAGCCTTTATCCGTGCGTAACAGGCATCGCATAAACTATTATTAAAATGGGCGGGCGATGTAGTGTCCCCCTGGGAGGGACAGTAGCTGCTTCGTTGCGTGCTGGTGGCTGCTGAGACTTACGCACGCCTCTGACTAGAACACGTCCCGTCTTCTTTTAATTTCTTTATTTCACGGTGCATTCTCGAGCACTGACTTTGTACAGCGTCGAAGGGGTAACTGGTGTGAATTATTAATTGGTGAGACTAGAACAGAATAATTATTCGTAGGGTTTGAAGTTTTCTCGGTGGTGAGTCCGAAGATGGCTGTCTTCTGGGTTGTAGCGCAGTGTCCACCAACGTTTCAGAGGTCCTTGCTGCCTTCATCATCAGGGCGACGACACGGCCTACAGTCTAGAATAGACAGAACTCGGGTCGTACAGAAATCTGCACGCGATTACTTGGTCAGGCCATAGGTTGGAACGGGGTCTGAAAATTAATTTTTGGTATGATACGTCTGCCATTTTAAAAACTGTAACAGCTGTTGGTGTTTGGAGGAAACTGAAATTCAAAACGTGGTCTTCACGCAACGCCACGCGGAATAATGTCGCATCAATGCGATTCGAGATTATTGTTTAAGAAATTTGTCCTGACAATGAACTCGGTTCGCTCTTGATACTCGCTTCAGTTCGTAATTATTTCATTTTACAATAAATAATGTAATCGGTTGGTACATAACCTTAAATAACTTTGAAAATAACCAGAATTGGACTGCATTATGCACCCGTCTGAAAAGGCGGTAGTTCCTTGAAGCTGTTAAGTGACAGCCTAAAGCCATTCATATCAGCCGACTATAGGAAGTTCCAAAAAAATTTAAACACATCATATTACAGGATAATAACCTTGTGTGTAAGTAACTTTTCGGGACAGCCTGTATATGTTCTGGAAAAATACAAGGCATTCATAATAGGGCAAGGTACCAGAATTCACAACAGAAACTAATATTTCTCTAACATTCGAGTTGCCTAAAGAAAGTTAGGTTCTGTCGTAATTAGGCCGTGAAGACAAGAAAGGTAACATTTTTTTATAAATGATGAGTAACAAAAGAGAGTTAACTTCAGCGAAGTCTGATAAGCACAGAAGTAAAATAAATCGATATATTTGGGACGTAAATATACTGTTCGTTGTCATTATTTCGAGTGAACAAATATTTGCCATCCTCAAGACGCAAAACTGCGAGTTGATTCAGTTGTGTGTTTCCTCTGACCAAATCTCATAAGATTATCATCGCCTTGTCTCGCAAGTACGAAACTAGTTCCTCGTATGTTTCGCGTTGAGAAGCCCAGCATTCCCTCCTGAAGGCACTAAATGTTCCCTCAGTCAGTGAAAAATCGTGGATCGAATTACAGATTTAATAAAGCTGCCTGTGGGCAAGCTAATTTTAAAAAAGTTGAGCCCCCCCCCCCTCCGGGTGTACAGGTGTGGCCCACGTGACCAGTACTGCACCGCCATATTGATCGCTCACGGGCTGTTCCCCCACACTGCCTAATCACAATTTCCACAGCGGAATAATAAAAGTATTTTTATTCGTAGAGTACTTCAGCTGTTCGAACTGTAAACACGGGAGGCGAATGGCTCTTATTTATCTTCGGAATTCTAGTATATAAATCGCGGACAAGGTTCCAAATGCTATGGGGTTAGATGTCATGCCTTATGGAGTGTTGCAGTGGAGTCGGAGCACATCTGGACCAGTTTGGTTCACTAGGGCAACCGTACGCGCTTACTTCATGGCACGCCTACATTGTTTTCCGTGGGGGTCTGCTACCGTAAAATAGCCAGGCAGCTTCTCGAGTAAACAAACCATCCTTGAGGTTTTCCTCAGCCTTGCAATAGATCACGACATCTTCATCTCCACCCCCTCTGGTCCACGTTTTATCTTCTCGTCTAATTCGACTCTGGATGTTCTTCGAAGTCGATAAAACTTTCGGGCTTTCTTTGAATGTTGAGCCGTGTAGTCTGGTAGTTAAACGACGTTTCGGAGGTACTTACTGCTTCCATCATCAGGGTGATAATTGCCCTGACACTTTCCGGTGCAATATCCCAGAAGGCTGTCATCTTCAACCTGTGTCTTGTTTCGCTTACGTTCAGATCAACTTATTTTTAGTTATAATTTACAAGAGGGACTGAGGAAAATAATGATAAACTTTACACCTCCTAACTAATCATGACTGTCGAATAACAAGTGAGCTTTCTTTCTATAATTAAATTTAAGTTTATAGTTTAGATGCGTCATGTTTGTGTTTTCAATTCATACATATATTTATTCTTCAAGTCTATACACAAACTATATTAATATTGATGTTAAAAATTAAAATTGATATAAATATTTCGCGCTATTCATCGTTTCCTCGATGTTACAATTTGCGCTATATATTACAACATGTTTCGATGTCTCAGCATCATCTTCAGGTTTTATTTTTAAAACTATTCAATATTTTTTAATGCACGCTTTTCAGTATTTGTAGATTGTAGGTTGTAGTTGTGGATGTTCCTTTTATTCTTCTGATTCTTTTGCATATTATGTGGTGTATTATGTTATTTGTTTATTATTTCTGTGAAATTATCAACAATATAATTAACATTATTAATATTATTTATATGTAAATGAGTTTGGATATTGTTATAAAAATTCACTATAAACATAGAAACATGTATATGTATGAATTAAATTTAAGTTTCTTAGCTTGTCTACTATATTAATGAGGGATCTGTTAATTATCGCACTCTTTTTCTTTAATTGCGTGATATTTATGAATGCCTGTGAATTTGCAGGCGGAGTTGACTCAATTGTAGGCAAGTCGGCGTGAGTGTCAAGCTTTCATCCTGAAAACCAACTGACCGTCGCCCTGATGATGGAGACTGTAATCACTTCTGAAACGTCGATCAACTTCTATGTGACCGTACGGCACAACATCCTAGATAGCTGCTAAATTTATTTTGTAAAAGTCAAATGGCACTTATATTTAGGTGAAACTTTTAATTATCATTTTGACATGGGATGTTTCGTGAGAAGAAGTTTGTTTGTTTTGACTTTAAAGTAATAAAAATCGGCCAAGCTTTCTTGGAAGGCGTATAAAACAGAGGCTGACGCCGAGGGTTGTAAAGACTCGACTGCTTCACCGCGTTTTGCACTCAGACTGTCTTTAAGAAGCTGTAAAAGGTTACGACTGAGGCTGAAAAATCGTTACGTTTTGTTGAAGTTTGACGCCTTCTTCTGCGCGGGATGAAAACAATGGCGGATAGAAGTTTCAAGATGTGCCAGGTTTTCTCTCGCACGCCCCAAAGATAAAATTGCTCTGAAAGCGAGGATTTGCGTACTATTTTCGATGTTACGAAATGTTTAATTCGATTATGTTTAATACTTATGGACAGTACACGATGTACACAAAAGAATGGTGCGGTTTCAAAAGTTAATAAAAAAATTATTTCTCACCTGACGGTGTATGTTGTGCCCGTGTAAGGTGATAAATAATTTTTTTATTAACTTTTGAAACCTCGCCATTCTTTTGTGTACACCCTGTATAAGTAAAAAAATATTTTTTTCGTGAATTTTAAGAGGTTTCATTAAATGTAAAAGATAAAAATAGAATTATAAAACACATGTATATATTTATTCAATGTATGGAAACAATTACTCATACATAGCAAAATTGTACCCAGGCTGAATCCTGAGGGAATTGATAGTGGAGAAAATGGCGCTGACTGCTATGACTTGAATTCCTTGTGCATATCCTCAGACCCTCCATGGGAAGTAGCTTGAAATTATGTCAGAAATATTCTCTCTTTTACAGCTCTCGACTTCAGGTCCTTCGTAATTTTATAGGACTCTTCGCATGGGCCTATTTCCAGTTGATAAATAGCATTTACGCGACTTAGAATAGAGTGGGGGATATACAGGATGTCCTAAAAAGATATACACGAAGCAGCAAGTTTGGTGGCCGCTTGTCAGTTGCTCGCCGCTCTCGACTGTTCCACGAAGCTAACGATGGCCATCTTGAACACTGAACACTAGATATGCTGATTCACCAAGTGCCAATGCTGACGTATGTAATGATTTCACTTTATTGAATTCATTGAATTTGTTCGTACATCTTTTTGGGAAAAATGTATTTCTTTCTGTATCATTTTGCAGATGAACCCGGAATTTTGGGTTTGGGGTTGTTCACCGCGGGGGCTTTCATGCTACCACGTGCAGACCGCCGTCATATTGAATTGGTGCGGGGAAATTTTTTCCTGGGATAAAGCGACCGGAGCGCGAAGTAGACCACGTGGTGACGTCTAGAATATGTGGAGCTTGGTGCTTAGACGCAGGGATTTTACAGTGCGCATTTATTTCAAAGCCATTTAGAACTTCACGTCTTTGTAATATACAAATTGAAGCTTTAAATAAGTTGGTCGTTTGGTTTGGGGGGTTGGCATTCTTGGGTCTTTCGTTCGCTGACTCGGTTGTCGGATTGGATTGGTTAATTTTCTGATTAGTCATATAGTCGGTTACTTGGTTAAGCAATTATTTATTTAGTTACATTATATATTTGTACCTTGATTATAGCGACATCACAAGCCACTTTCTTTTATAATTTCACATACGCTGATTAAAATAGGTGCACACTGATACATATTAAAGCACTAACCCTTTCTCTGAAATCGACTTTTCAATCGACAAATCTGTAACTGACCTCTCTCTTTCATTTCAGATGTCCTAAGATGGGTTTATTTGTGGAGCTGCTTCGCGCGGCCGCCATATTGCTCATTCTGTGGCACGTCCGCGGATCGGATTTGTAAGTATTGTTGTTGTTGTTGTTACTGAATTTCGTTCTGAGTCGTGACAGCTCAGTGGAGAGACAGGCCTCGTCTCTCTGTTTCTGTCCCAAGATGACCAGAGGCTCTGTTAGTAGTGACTCGTGGGGCAACGTTGCAACAAATTTTCAGACAAATTTTAGTACATTCCAATATCGTCATGTGCAAGTGTCATCAATGAGACCGACGTTTCTTCAAGTAATTTTGAATTTGTTTTATGAATAATAATATGCGATTTTATGAAAGATTGAGGGCAGGAGAACTCTTGTTAAAATGGTTGGAAAACTTCAATGTTTATTTAGACGAGTGACAGTTTTATTCTAATCGTTCAGATAACTTCATCTTACATGCAGGGTCTTAGCGAAGAGATCCTTGTCCCCCCGACACCCTACTCCTCGAACCAAGGAAGTACCTCGCAGACCGAGGCTGCAGCTGAAAGCTACCCCCCCCCCCTCGGTCACCGTTAGAAAAATGTTCTACGAATATGCCATCATATGATAAAGATATTATATTCACGCATATGTGTAAGTATATATGATATAAACACACTTAAACTACGACAATATTTGGGTTAATGTTTTAAGTAGGACATTGCCCCGGAGAGACGGATTGGCAAGCCGCCACTGGGATAGGACGACTGTCTCTTCAGAGGGTAAAGGCGTGTCTTTGTTGTTGATTTTTTATTCCTGAGCCACGTGTGTCGTTTTCCACTTAGAATGCTCGCGTCTGTTGGAAAAATATTGATTCGTGGGTTTCCGATAGACGGTGTTAGAACTGCAGCGGTAGTCTGTCTAGTGAGATGCGAAGATACTAATAATTAAGTTGTGACTAAGAGACGTTAGCTTTATTATTATTTTTTTATTTAGTGTTCTGTCTGAGGACAGGTCCATATGAACAGGATCCTTCCATCCTTTTCTCGGACTGGGACCTGTTCATATACGTTCTTGGCAGATGATCCAGAAGTGGTTTGCCATTGCCTTCTTCTGGGTGTGAATGGAGTAATTGTTGGGACGCCACGGAGAACACAAGTTATAAATTCGGGCACCGCCGGGAATCGAACCCGAGACCTCAGGATTACAAGGCCAGCGTTCTAACCGCTAGACCGCCTCATCTTATTATTATTTAGTGTTGTGTGTGACGACAGGTCAGGTCCATATGAACAGGATCCTTCTTCCATCCTTTTCTCGGACTGGGATCTGTTCATATACGTTCTTGGCAGATGATCCCGAAGTGGTTTGCCATTGCCTTCTTCTGTGTGTGAATGGAGTAATTGTTGGGATGCCACGGAGAAACCGGGGAAGCCCCCGGAGGAAAACTCCGTGTTGCCTAGACCACGGCCTTGCCCAACACAAGTTATAAATTCGGGCACCGCCGGGAATCGAACCCGAGACCCCAGCGTTCTAACCGCTAGACCACCGTGGCTATTACGTTAGCTTATTTAAAGGTATTTTCTGGAGTTACTAAGGAGAACCACGAAAACACTTTAGGTCAAGATACTGATAATTGAACCGGAATGTTTTATTTACCATAACACTGCAAAACAAAGGAACAAATAGGCAGACATTTCTCCTCTCATTTTAAAATGACATAATTTGAAGTGGAAATTGTGTGGTTATCGTGCCGTCATCTGGGGATATATAAATTGGGTCGATTCGTGTTTCTGAATAGAATGACATCTCCCAGTAGACTAACCACATGCATACGTATTATTTGGCGCGTGGAATTTGAAGTGAGTATGTACTCTGCGGTAAATGTCACCGGTTTAGATACCAAATTAATTGATACAGCGTCTTTAAATACGTAACCAAACACAGGATAGTCTGTCATGCCCAAAACCAACTTCATTGTAAACGAAGTCTTCTGGGCTGTTGTTCCTTGTAGTCTGGTACACTTTTGCCGACCCTGATGATGGAGGCAGCAAGAACCTCTGAGACGTCGATGAACTTCTTCCAGACAGCGGTCCAACAACTCAGAAGACAGCCATCCTCACATTTGAGGCCGTGAGACCTGAGATGTTACCCGTGGGGTCACGTTAACAACACGTGAATGACCCAGCGCTGCACTGTCAGTGGGCAAAACGCAGTGAAAATAATGAATCATCGGCTTTCCACGTCTGAGGCTTAGCTGCCTTGTTACGGTCTCATCCCGTGGTTTATGTGATATCCCCAAAGTTCTTCGCCCATTTAGTTGGCAACGGAGAATTTTGAATTGGACTGTTAAGATGATCTTTAGAAGAACACGGGTTTTACAGTTGGTCCCCTTAATTCTGTATAAATTTCATAATTTGTTGTGTTTAATTCCTTCGTTAAGTAGCTGTAAATTCCTTTTATAATCCGAACGTTTATAGTTCGCTGTTCTCGTTATGACTTTCATCTCGTTTGCATATAGACCAGGCGCCGTTGCCAAAGTCAACATGAATTTTGCCAAAGTCTTTAAAACTTTAATCTCTGAAGGAAAACAGTGCGGATCTGCTCGTTAAACAACTCACTGCTTATATTCAAAGAGACGATCACTTAAGAAATTATGCTGTTTCAGATAAGGTATTTATAAACTGTGAGTAGATAAGGATTTGGAAGGAAAATTCCGTGGCCCATTTGAAGTTGTTCGCCAAAGAGACGGAGGAAAACCACAAACATCTTAGAATCGTCGGTAAGCCATCGGAAATTCGAATGGAGTCTTCCCCCCCACTCCCTGCACAGATCGTTCGGTTATAGCATTTTGTGTCCAGATACATCAGCAGCTTTGACAACTCAGTTATGTGACGGGCTCCACGCGTGACCGAAGACTTAGAAAGTCCCTGTAGAGCTCTTCTTCGCCGAACCCAGTGCGATCTCGTCCCATCAATTCTCCTGCTATTCGACTTAAAATTGTGATTTTCAAGGTCTAAAGGCGGCCGGAGCTTGAAGCTGGGTACTGCCGGGCCTGTATGCTGTGATTTATTTTGACGTAAATACGTCTATATGGAAGGGTCAGTGTTATTCGGCAAAAAGTGTTACGAAAAAGGGAAATGAAAAAGTGTAACCTGGTTACCTAGAAAACGTCGTGTTTACTCGGCATTGTTGTTACCTA